CTTCCTTCCGCCACTTCCTTCCGCCACTTCCTTCCGCCACTTCCTTCCTTCGCCACTTCCTTCCTTCGCCACTTCCTTCCTTCCTTCGCCACTTCCTTCCTTCCCTCCTTTGTGAATAGAGCAGATTGTAACACATTGTAGAAGCATGGAGCTCAAACCCACAGAGCTGTAAGTCCACTGAATCAGTATCAGAAAGAGGAAGGGGTCTACTGCATCTCAGGAATTGGTTGATAACAACTCGAACAGTAATCTTCCTGGAAGACCCTTTTAAACCACTGCCTTTTCCCCCTTTATGTACAGACTGCTTTATGTGCAAAGTTCCAGGACCAAAATAGGTGCATCGCCCCACTTCTCATATCCATTTCACAGATAGAACTGTAGGGTGGGATTTGTCATGTGCTCATGGCCCCCTTTCCCTTAAGCAGAGTAATTCCTGGTCAAGGTAGTCAATATGCTGGCCTGCCCAAGCAAGGGGCTAAAGAGATTATCCACATTATCTTTTGAGTTGCTAGACCTTGTGTAACAATATTTCCACAGCTGAGATGCAGGTCCATATCAAGGAGAGGGAATAGAGATTTTCAGTAAATCTCTAGGGCTGGCAAACTGTTCTAACAGCAAAGTTGGTGCCACAGAGTAAGCCTAATTCAACCTTACTAGGTTGCTGTCATATGATGTCTGTGTGTTCTGTATAGACTTCAGCCACTCAGATTGTATGGACTGTACATTGTTTGGATCTTTCAAGGCCTGATTATTGTCCATGTCACTGAAGATCACCTCCACCACCTCTAATTCCCTCAGACATTAAATATATTCCTCTGTGGCAGTCCACATGCCTCACTGGATGACAATATCTTCCTTAAGAGAGTACTTCATCTTCATGCTCAATAGCAGTCACCTCTGGAAGCTGGAGGTGGCTGACCCTCTTCCAGTCCCTCTATCAGTCCCACAATCCCTAGCAAAGAATCCCAGCTACTGTGTTCCCCTTCCTTTTAGTTCCAGACTGTTAGCCCTACTATTCCAGCTCTGGAGCAACCAGGTAGCAATTAGTTCATCTTGTCAGGCAAAATCTTTACACATTATCTTGCAGCTAGGCCATGGATAGGGACCAGATAGCTTCCGCCTCTCATGATTTCTGTCTCTTTCCTTTCCTATCCTGCTGTGGAACAGGCTACCTGTTCTTATTCTTCCTCTCTCCTCCTCTGAGCATGAGCTGCCTCTTCTCTTATTAACCTGATCTCTGCTTCCACTGCTTCTTTACTACAAGATCAGCTATTACAGCTGAGGGTTCAGTCTCTGGTTTAGTGTCTCTGTGGCCTCAGACCAAGACATCTTCTGAGTCTCAGACCACTACAAGCCTGTTTGTGGGCTTTTAGACCAGGCCCTCTTGCATTTACAGGCATGGGGCACATCCAACACAGCTATAGAAGTCACTGTGTTTCACCTTCATTTCTTTAAATAATGTATTCGTTTATGGGTTAATGAGCCTGTTCAGATATGAAATCACAAGTAGTCAGAGGCAGCAATGGCCCTGTGCTCCTGCCCATCTCCTCCCAGACATACTGACACCCCAGGGATCAATCACCTTAGAGCATGTTCCACATGATTTGAGCACGCCACATGATTTGGCGTGCTCAAATCATGTGGCAACCCCAAATAGCTGTTTAACCTTATGAACATTAATCAAAGTTGGGATCACAACACATTAGTATTAACAGTCTGATTACATAAGGATAATGAAGGAACTCAGAAGCCACTACATCAAAACTATAAAAAACTGTTGTAGAGGAGAGGAAGGGATAGGTACCACTTTTTCCTCTCTCTCTGCAAAATGTCTCTCAGGGAAGAAGAGGGTAAAATATAGTTGCTGATTTTATCCACGAGGTGGTTCTTGGAGTACTGGGACATCCACAAGGTAAGACCCAAGTACCAGATTACGCTGATGGACAGTAGTTTTGTCAAAGAACTCCCAAGCAAAGGAAAACCAAGTAATAAAGAGCAAACAAAATCGCAAAATCTGAAAATAGTCATTAAATGATTCTTGGAGGCTTTTTTACAGTTAGAAAGGAATCAAGCACCTAAATATTCACACACACATACAAATCAGCACCCAAAGCAAATATGCAGCTTCATGACCTGCAACAGTCCTTAAACATCTTAACCAAACAGGTATTAACAAGTTTACTCTAGCACACTGTCATCAAATCTATTATTATTTTGAAAGCCTTGAGCCACAGGTTGGGTTCCAAAATAGACTGTTGTGGGTTATCCAAGGAGGTAGCTAAGCACACAGAGCTATCTCTTCACTTCCCCCTACCCCCATCTCCTAGGAGAACAAAGGAAGAGCAAAGGCAAAGTGAAAGCAAGAAAATTTGTGAGTCAAGATAGAAACTGATCAGTAAGTCATGATGAAGTGCAAGAGAGAAAGAAAATAAAACAAAAGAGATGATGCAAAAGCTATTGTCTACCACCTCCCAAGGCTGACTAATGCTGAGCCAGTTATGGGTAAAATACAGCTAAATGTCCCTAAACCTCCTCCTCTTCCTTTTTATTGCTGAGCATCACATTATGTGGTATGAAATCTCTCTGATTAGTTCAGGTCATCTGCTTTGTTTCATGTTTGTGTCTCCAACTATTCATGCATCCTCCGATCTATTTACTGGGGGGTGCAGGCAGAAAAACAGAAGGCCTGTCACTGTACAAAACACCGTCAGAAAGAGCAAAAGCATTACTGTCTTATTATCATTGTATTGGTCACAAATCTAAAACACAGCACCCTCAGGGATGCTATACAGAAAACTAACTTCATCTCAGCCAAACCTAGCATACTGGCATAGCTAAAACCAAATATCTAACAGATAAAACAGCTCAGCCTGAAGAATCATCTTGAAACTGACTAGAGAAAATATAACATTACTTCAACTCATCTCTGTTGTCACTGATTGTGTATTCAAACATCCATTTCAAAACACCTACATCCCAGGGATTGGCCAAAGGAAATTCTACAAAGCTGGAAGTTAAATTCAATTAAGTACAGGTGACAATTTTATCCATCTTTTAAAATATAGCTCAAATTTTGGCAGATTGCTTTTTTACTTAGTCATTTAAATAAACAGCTTATAATTAAATACCTGGCATTTCTTTAGTTCCCTCTTCAGTTGAAGTATTGTAATGTGATGTGGTACTGGGCTGGTCTCAGTGCCTGTGTCAGGCTCCTGGATGGTGAGAGCTTCCTTCCTTACTTTCTGTACCATAGTGATCCAGCTCTGCAACCTGTCCCGCTGACTTCTTCTTAAGCTAACATCATCATACAAATCAACCAGAAAAGGTAAGGCTTCATCTACACAATTTCTGTAACTGAAACATTGAGCCTGAAGGCGAGTGAGCTGCTCCTCAAGTGAACTGATACGGGCTTTTTCTTCATTTAAGTCATGTAACTGCTGATTACGGGCCTGCTGGCTCTGCAAAGCTTCCCGAAGCAATCTGATTTCAAGTTCCATTTCATCAATTCGGTCTTTTTCTGGGTTGTAATTTACTACTGGTTTATTTCTAATGTTTTTTACTCTGTTGGCATATTTGAGGGAATTTAAAGATTCATCAAAGTCCAGTGAGGATGGACTTATACATGCTATCATAACAGTCTTGGCATTTCCTCCTAGGGAGTCTTTCAGAATACGAGTGATTTTAGCATCTCTGTATGGAATATGTACACTTTTTCTTTTTGGGTCTCCAAGGGCACTGATGACATTTCCCAAGGCCAAGAGACCACTATTGATCTGAACTGATTCTTTGAAGCGTTCACCAGTATTTCCAGTCTTTGCTACCCTCTCTGATCCTGCCAAATCCACAAAATGAAACTTTGAAGAAATTGAATCCTGTGCAGCATTCTGATACTCTGCAGACTGCTTCTGATGAATACTGATGGTAAAAATGGCATGAGATCGACTAGAGTGCTCATTCATCTGTGTTGTGCCTGTGTGACGAGCTGCATTGCCACTTTCCAGCAGGCTTATTACTTCATCTGCACATTCTACTTGGAATTCCTTAGCACCGACAATCACTTCAAAAGCCAAACCAGATGAAAGTAAGAATAATTTAATAAATTCTAAATAGCAATAGTTTATAATGATAATTCTTCAGCAATAATTTACAGCAATACCTATAATAGTGTATTAGAGAAAATACAAGCCTGCTATGGCTATGCCCTACCTATGAAGTCATAGCATATAGCCAGAGGAATGAAGATACAATGTGTGCAAAGCATGAGATACAACACATCTGAAACCTGCAGATATTTAATGTAGGGGTCTATTGTGCCATAACATTTGAAACAGTATCTTAGACACAAGACACAACTCATTTACACATTGCACACTGCACGTTACCTTTACAATTTACAGCATGCTGCTACCTAGAAAAAATATGAGCAAAATCGGCTCAAAGGATATTCTGCCAGTTAAAAAAAAGACTAAGAACTATAAAGTTTTTTTTAAAGTAAAACTTATTCCAAGCCTGTACTAAGAAAATAATTTCTGAATAGTGCAGATAGTTGGGCCTTTGGGACAGGTATCTGTTAGTAATCTAATAAAGTGTAAGTGTACTTCTACCAAGTACTCTTACTAATAATCTTTTTTATCATATTTTTCTTTTAATGAGAGATGGAAAGCATCCTAGAACAAGAAGCTTACTCTAACTGTACCGAAGAAAATAAATACTTTAAAATGTATTGTGGGATCCTTTTGAAGCAATGATGATGTCTGCAAGATTTGTGCTGAACTAGTGCTTTCTCCCAGCTACAGACAAAAAACCCATGACAGCTTAATATAACAGTTTAAGAATACTAGACTAAACACAACAATTAGAATATAAAGAAAAAAAATCCGAACCTAAACCAGATTAGATACTTTGAGAATAAAATAACTCTGATGTAGATTCTTCTAGCATTTTCATGGGGTGAACAGGATACCTACAGGGCAAGTATTAATCTCAAAGCCTCTAAAAATATCTACTTCCCCTTCTCTTAATGAAGTGGTCTCTTCCACTCATTTCATTGTAAAAGGGGAGCAGATATTTACAATATAATTGACTTAACAATTGTAATTTTGAAGGAAGAAGCAATGGTTTAATCTTAAAATATTTATTCAAGTGAATAATCGCATACTACTTTGTTTCTAGACAGAACTTGCAGAAACAATAACTGTGTTATTCACTTTACCATTTGTTGCCACTTCCATCTATATAATAAAACATCTATATTGCTGACAAGCATCTAAACCTCAAACTGTTTCCAAACAGCTAAACTGAGCTTATATTAATAATTTTTTTCCTTTTATTCATTAGTAGTGAATAAGCACTTTCAAGAGAAAGCAAGAATAATTTGGACAGAAACTGAAACACAAAACACCAAATTTGAGAGCTGGAATCCTACCTGTATTTCCCTTCTCATCTTCTCGAATATGTAGATATTTCACAGAGGTCTCCAAATCCAACAAATCTCGAAGTTCTTCCTTGTAAACCTCTATATAGGATACCTTCACACGGAAGTTAATATTACGATGTTCAGAAATATGATGAAATAATTCCTGAATAGCCCGTGGGATTATGCCCCTTTCATCCACTGCAACTGATGCTAAAATATAAGCACAAATGTCACTGAAAACTGCAGTCATTCTGTAACATAAATTACAAAGACTGAAATTTGAGAGAAGCCTGCGATATTTAGTATGCAACACACTAAGGAATCTGAAGAGCTCATCGTTCACAAGGATTTTTGTAAATTTTTTTCGTGTGTGTGTCAGAAACTTTGTTTGCATCCAGTACTAGGATTCAAATCTAGTACTAGGATTTTAATTACACAATTTTATAGTCATGAAAGTTATGAAAAATATGGATTCTACTTTAAAACTATACTCCTCAGAGTACAGATTTCTTCTTTATCCCTACTCAATATGGTTAGCAATGACATCTCAAGGATTTGAGAAACTATAAATTCTACTTACATAAAGCAAAATCATCAGTAACATAGCGAGACAAGATTTATGACCAACACTACCAGTAATTTCCTATTTTTTCATAAACATGGAACACTGGTGCCAAACTCTACTTTTTTTTTACATAGTCAGCATAGGACAATGTTTCCATTAATCATCTGTGTTCTTTATCCATGACTATGGAAGCTGTTTGACTATGAGACAACAAAAAGAATCTCTTTTACCAAAAAACTAATGGGTTGCTCACATCTAAATATTAATTTAGTAAATATATTCATTAAACTAAAAGGGTGTAATTGCAGAGCTATGATCAGCCTTAGACTGTGACATCCACTACCAAAACAATTTAGGTAGCAATGGTACTTATAGGAACATTAAATACCTACTAGTGAAGAGAATGGAAGTGAAGTTACAACAATAAGCAGAAGAGACCAGTGGTATGAGGTTCAACAAAGCCTGCTGTAGGGTCCTGCCCTTGAGGCACAACAATCCCCTTAAGCACCATGGGTTGGGTGGGGGCAGAGTGGCTGGAAAGGTGCTCAGCCAGAAGGGACCTGTGGATGCTGGTTGACAGCAGCAGATCACAGGCCAGCCAGCTGCGCCCAGGCGGCCAAGAGGAGTACCAGCAGTTGTGTGGCCAGCAGGACCAGGGCAGTGATTGTCCCCCTGTGCTGGGCACTCATGAGGTCACACCTCCAGTGCTGTATTCAGTTCTGGGCCCACCACTGTAAGGACATTGAGGGGCCGAAGTGTGTCCAGAGAAGGGCAACAGAACTGAGGCAGGCCATGGAGGAGCAGCTGAGGGAGCTGGGGTTGTTTAAGCTGGAGAAAAGCAGACTCACGATAGACCGTAGTGCTCTCTACTACCACCTGACAGGAGGGTGTAACTGGGGGGAGGGGGGTCACTCTCCTCTCCCAGGCAAAAACTGACAGCACAAGAAAAAATTACTTCAGGCTGCACCTGAGGAGGCTTAGATTTGATATTAGGAAGAATTTCTTCACTAGTGGTCAACCAATGGAATAGGCCTAGTTGTGGACCTGGAAATGTAGGGTTAATGGTTGGACTTTAAGATCTTAGGGGTCTTTTCAAACCTACACAGTTCAGTGATCCTATGATTCTAAATAAAAGGAAGACTCTACCAAAATATTTACAATAGTCTATTTATATCAATTTGGAAAAATTAAAGCATAGATTTCTCAGATGTCACAGAAATTTCTCTCAAAAGCCCCAAAAAACCAAACAAATCCAACACAGAATGAGCAAGTAAATAATTAAGTGCCTAATGAACATATTTGCAAGGTAAGATTAAGTATAGTAAAAATTTTCAAAACCACTATATCTCAGAAAAAAAGTTGTAATATAAACTGCATGTTAAAATGTGAAATGTGAAAGAACACTTAACAAATTGGGGTTTTCTTAGATATTTTTGGTATAGTCTAATTTATGGAGAAGTTTTTAGAACCTTAATTATCACATAAACAATTGGAAGTTTTGGTTTTTTTTACTACAGGTTTTTGCCTTGATCCTTAAAACTATGCAGCATTATCTGCTATGCAATAAATATTTAACTTGCATAAATGCACTCTTTACCAATTAAAAAATCTCCAAAAACCAAAAACTTTTCTATAACCTACCAATGTGATCACCACCGATAGTGTAAGTCTTCCCAGAACCAGTCTGTCCATAGGCAAACACTGTAGCATTGTATCCTTCAGTCAGAGACACTAGAAGAGGCTTAATACAAACAGCATAAACTTCTTCTTGGGTTGAGTTTTTGCCAAATACAAAATCAAAAGTGAAGACATGGTCCTTTCCAATGATAATTTGTTTAGCATTTGGCACTAATCTGACACACACTTGGTGGTTATGAAGTATTTCTTTGGAAAGCAGAGGTCTGACTCGGACTGCAACTTTAACTGGGATCTCCTCCATGCCAGACTCCACCACTGCTTCCCACTCAGTATTCACATAGTCAAGAAGAAATCTGTTACCCCAGCTCTGTTCACTTCATTCACAGCTGTCTGCAACTAAGAAAAAAAGTTTTCCATGTTATATAATATAAAAGAAAGTATCTCCTAAAGTGAAAAGCTGAGAGTTCCTAAGGAACATGTAAGCAACATTACAATCTTGAAAACTATCTGATATAAACGCTGCTCTATTAATAACTATATAATCAATTAATAAATTATTTTTGCAACTATTTATTTCCAGGTTAGCAGACTTAAAGTTGCCTGATTTCCTATTTGAATATAACACAATCATACAAAGCAACAATATTGTAAGAATTTTAATAAACACTGTTGGTAAAACAAAGGCTTAAAATGGATCCTCTCATTTTCCTAGTCCTGCATTCACATTGCGTAGGCAGCACAAATCAGTCAAACAAAACCTTTTTCTCCAGAAGTTGTATATACATACCCTCTTCCACTTATCAAGCACCAAATATTTCTAACTCAACAAGCACAAGGAAGTGTGGTTTTAAATGTATCTATTTACTACATGTAGAACATTCCTCCGATTTTGATTTGAAACTTTAGGCACATATGGAATTATTTTTTAGTAATTATAATTTTAGCATACATAGTTCCTTATACTGCCTGGTGCATATTCATTCTTACAGCATAGGCATTGCACAGTAGCACACTTGTAAACATTAAGGAATTGCCTTTCTTTATAGCTGTTTTTCACTAGAATTCAAAAATCTGCATGGGATCCCACACAAATATTTTCCGTTGTTGTTGCTAACTCTGAGAATTTTTGTCATGAAAGGTAAAGTTTGCTGAACTTCGTGCTCTCACACACATTGTCTTCAAGAAAGCTGTATTACTGAGCTGGCAGAAATCAGCTAAGCTCCCAAAATTCAAGTTTGCTGAAAATTAATAGCTTAAAACAGTGTTATCTCATGGCAGTGAAGAGAAGAGCTTTTGCATTTCATTTTACTCCTTCTAATTTGAAGACTTGGCTGAACTTTGAAAAAAGAAAAGCTCCATTCTATTGACTGAGCACAAGAACAAATAAGCAAAGCATGAGAATGACCTGTATCAATAAAGACATGGCCAATTAGAAACAGATACATATATATACTAACTACAGATTAAAAACACGTTTTGAATGATAATTGAATGGGTGCATTATTTTTTTTGCCCCCTAGCAAGTGCTGCTCTTAAGTGCCAACATTTCTTACTCTCTTTTTAAAGTTATATTCCTAAACAAACAAGTTAACAAATCATGTCCCGGGTGTGGCAGAGAAACCGTATTTCCTAAGAATCTACTTTGTAAAAGAACGTGGGAACATAAAACATTCCCAAAACATCAAGGCAAGAGAGATACTCGGGTGTCGACGCCCGCGGCTCCCACAGGGCAGAGGCAAACATACATTCTACCTTTTCGCTTGCAGGGATGTTCTGCGTGCGGCCCAGCGGATTTTCCGTGTTTGCAACGTCTCCAAACCTGAGGAGCGGCCGGGATCGTATCATGCGTGAGGGTCGGGAGCCGCTAGAGCCGCGGAGGCCGCCGTG